CAAGATCAAGGGTTGCCCTAGCTTAAGTGTCCTCAATTAGTGGTACCATGTATTACTCCCAACACGATAATCTGGATCTTAAATAGTGCTTCAATAGCCTCAAAAATCTCATAATATAACACTATATAACCTATGATATGACTATATAGAAACCAATCACATCTTCCTATGTACGCTAACCAAGGAAGACAGTCAAGAAAATAAATCCATAATATCTTTTCTCCTTGGAACCGCATAAGAATGAAGCAATTTAGTCGACTCCTCTTACTATCTCTATAAGGAAAATAGGGAAATTATTTGAGCTATTCAAACGAGCAATACTTGTATTCAATTTATCTGCCTTTACACTGACTGGGACAACACTACCTTAGCTTGCGTGCAAGTCAGAATAAACGAGAAAGTGAGAGATGGAAGCATAGACGCACACACATATCTATACTCTACATAGACTAAATATCGAACCCTGATATCGAGGTATCGGTTTAATTTACTAGGAGCTGGTTCAAGAGCATCAAATCAAACCGAAGCATAAAAATACTTTTCTTTCTATCTTTTTTAAATGTTCCCGGAAATGCATTTTTCCATATAAAACATACACTCCCAATTTCCACTCACTCTATCATTGTGTTATCCTACACTATACAATTCATCACATCCCAATCTCTGCATCCCACCAACATACACACGCCTCACCCCCCCTCATAACAAATACCATACCAAACACAAAAAACACCCCCATCCAATTCAAAATCCCCATTCCATTCCAATAACTAGACCTCAATCCCACATCCCACCAAATCACAAAAATCCAAAAGTTCCTCAGGGATTTACATATCATTCGAACTCCATCCCATCCACACAACCATATTAGGAGAATATACATTCTCGTATACACGATGTAGAAATTCACCAAAAACACACGGGAGTAGATCAAAGAGGAAGGACGCATTCTTTCTTGTCAGCAAGAGAAGGGAATGTGGTTTTTGCTGTCGAAAATCAAGGTGCTGTCGAGTTGCAACCCCAAGCTTTGAGATGAATAGGTTAAGTTAGACTATAGGATAATCCGTCTTGCTAGGTTGTGAAGAGCTATATTCTTACACTTGTATGGTAGCATACTATAGTATACCATGGAAAAGTTTACGTCTGCTTTCCCTGTCATGATTTCTGCATCGATGTATCTTATAGTATCCTATATAAGTTACTAACTTACGTACGTAGAACTTTATACTAGGAGGGTATATAGTATGGTTATTTACTTGGGAAAAAAGGATGTAGAAAAGTAACTTTTAGAGAGAGGCGTGAAGTATGAATCCATATCTGAATACTTACGTTTTTGATTACAAATAGTAAAATCATAACCTATCCTCCTTATTCTATAAACCATCCGCGATGTGCCTTTTCACGTCGCAGTACATATATCCCCTTCCCTTCATTCTAATACATGAATACCATCCCACCACATAACAAAAACCTCACACCCACCATCTCGATATCCTCTATTCACAGTACAGGATCCTAGATCTTATATTATAAGAAACAACCCCGTTGCTACGGGGGGAGTTTAGTAACTTCCATTCCATTCCAAGTTTCCGGGATCAACAAGAAATTAACTATAGAAAAGACTCTAGAAGATCCTTCATCTATCCCTTTAATAACTTTACCGACTAGAAATTATTACCTTAATTATAAGCTCTATATCCTAGTAGCCTATAATAATAATATAAATAAAGACTCTAGCAAGGTATCTAATAACGGGAAATAAGTAGTAGATAGTTATAGATTTAACGACCAATAAGGCCCTTTATTATATATATCTAACTCTAAGAGACTCCTCTAGAATCCGAGTATTTTAATTAAAGAGTTTATATTATTTATATATTATTATAAATAGAAAGTAAACTAGACGAAGAGAGAAAAGGGAGAAGGGATTATTTATTTATTATCGAAGAGAAAGCTAACATCGAATTCTAGTAAGATTACCTTAGTCGAAGCTTAAGAAGTAAGCTATCTAACTACTTATCTCCTACCCTATTAATATAAAAAAGATTAAGGAGAAGGCTCGGTCGTTCGTTCTCTTAGGGAGAGAAGGAAAGGTTTATATAGTACTCTCTATAATAGCGAACAATAGATTAAACAAGTCTATATTGTTATATCTTTTAAGCGAAGAATATATTATAGAAAATTATTGTCCTTGTATTACCTTTTATTACCCTCTCGACATTTTTCTTACTAAGAATACTATACTACGAAAGAAAAGGCCACGGTAAAAGATAAAGAAGTACAATTAAGAATTAAAAATTCCATCTTACCTAGCCTATTCACACCCTCCCCTACCCCCACAAGCACTCTCTAAACCAGGATCCCCTAAAACAAATCCTTATAATCGAATATGCGAAAGAGAAAGGGACTTCCTACAATTTACAAACCACTCCCTGGGTAACCAAAACACACAGGCAACGACTACAGTACAGTAAAATACTCAGCATCTCATCACCCTTACTCTCTCATTCAGATAACAACCAGCGGTCACTGGTGATCATATTCAATATCTCAAAAAACATGTGACGTGTAAGGGAATCCATTAGCCCAAATCCATGCCAAGGAGACTCACATTTCAACTCACTAACGAACAATACAACGAAGAACCTTGATATCTTCTTGTCCGAGCTTTTTCCTCGGACCATGAGTTTGTCGCTTCACGCTTCACCGGACGAAACAATTAATTATACTTTGTGTATCGTCCTTCATTCAAAGGTATTCTTCCATGCATACCGGTATCTCTTTCTTTCTTTCTGTCCGCTAGAAACTCTGATAAGATACTGGACATTGGAAGGTTGTTTAAACCCCCAGCCCCCCAGAAATAAATGGTGGATAAAATCAATGCGGCGAAACTTGGGGAAAATTCCGAACCCATGTCGACCTGAAGCCCCCCGATAGTTCAACATCTAGATCTGCAAAGACCAAGCTCACTAGCCACAACGGCCGTGCCACGAAGCAATGGACGATCCACATGTGGATTGATTGGCTCTCAGACTCTGTCATGTCTTTCTGGAAAAGAAAAAAGAAAGATCAGGTTTACTGGCAGTTGTCAAAATGATATCGGCGCTTCCATCAAAAATTCGGCGGTATTGGTTTTGGGCGTACTCAAACAGTTCGCATTTATTTGAACTTGCATGAAAAAAGACCTTAGGGCATCAGCGATAGAAAAGTTATCGCATTCAGCTTATCAGGGGATTCTTTTTTCGGAAACCCCAGATCGCGCGGGTAAAATCCTGGATTGTCTGGGGAAGAGTGACCGTCTTTTCTTGAATGGTTCAGCCGTGCTGGGATTGTTCGCGTTGCCGACGGTCAAGGGCCCTTGCATCTATCCTGCTTGTTCCTGGGTCCTCGGAAAAGGAACCGAGAATGATGATTGGTGATGTTTAAAATTGGGTGGAAACCTTGTTGAACAGACGTCACTCGACAGCTTTTTCGCCTGTTCTGAAAAAAAGGGAAATGGAAAAACTTGTTGGTTGTCAGGGCGATGCTGTGATTTCGTGACGATGTATGAGCGAGTTGGTTGTTTTCTTTCAAGGGTATCTTTTCTGCGCTGGCAGAGAGTCTTTGGTCGCAATGAGAATGGAGAAAGGCTTGAAATGTATACCGCTCCATTCGCTTCCCCGAAGTGGATGTGTAATGGCGTCTCGTCATGAGCCAGTAATTTCCGAGAGTGTATTGACACCCGATTCAGATTGATGATGTCGTAAATGTGATTGATGGGAAAGGAGATGAGGCGGTGGTACAAAGTGATTGCCATAGACTGGGTGAAATGTTGGTGATGTCAGGTTGGTGTAGCGAACCTTGATCAAGATGCCTGTCGATCATCATTAAGGAGGGGGGTTGGGGTTGGTACCTTGTTTGATGCTGGAGCAAGCGCCTGGCGATGCACCGGAGAGTGTCCCTGTAGAGTACGGTGTACCGCTTTTCTGTTTTCTCCTCTTACGAAGTAGCGAGTACTTGCTTGAATCTCATGATGGTGCAGTAGTGCGATGTGGTTCTTCCCAACCTCCGATCATCAAGGATGCTGAGGGAGCTGCACTGCACTTTCTAGGTCTGGAGTTGTGGCTGGGATCCAACAAGCCAGAAACACTCTATCAATCGCCCGTGGGCAGCACATTTGAACTCTTCTGATAGAGTAGGTACTATTGATCGATATTCATGCTAATGGAAGGTTTGGCACAACCGTCGGACACCAGGTAAGGGATGGCTGAACTTTGACTCGAAACGGTCACTCGGGCGCTAGACTTGTCAGACGTGGACTTGGACGTGAACTTGCGGATGTTCCTGGCGTTTGATGAGTAGTGAGGTTGAGGTTGAGGCCGTGTGGACTTTTCGTGCTCGTGCTGCTGTCTCTGCAAGTGGAAACATGCCAATTCCAATACGGAGCATTCGATCAAGGGAGGATTGTCTAGTACAAGGTCGTGGTTGGGGTTACGCCAATCATCTCGTTTGCACCGACGGAAGTCACTCGATACATGATACGGAGGCGTATCGACGAGTGAAACTTGAAATGGCAGCAGCTTCAAAATGAGTACGTGCGCGTAGCAACCTACGATGCGATACAGTACTGTATACAGCGTATAGCAGACCAAGGAAAATCAGGTGTTTGAGTAGACCTAGGTAGGCGTAGGCGTAGGCGCAGGCGTAGGCAAACATGCATGGAACGCGTCCGCTGTTCTGCACCCGAGTGGAGTGACCCGTGAACCAGCCTAACCAGCCTAGAAAAAGAGACACGAAATCTGGAAATCTGAGCCGGGTCTGGCACTAGTCACTACATGCGGGAGAACAAGGATGTGGGTGCATATCGTCACTCGCAGTCTCCCACTCGCTCTTTCCGACCCAAAAGCAAGCTTTCGCGTTGACTTGCCGACTCGCCCCATCACCCATCACCGACCCCCCTCAGTTTAAGCTCCACTACTGACAGCTCTCTCCTTCTCGCTTNCGACCCAAAAGCAAGCTTTCGCGTTGACTTGCCGACTCGCCCCATCACCCATCACCGACCCCCCTCAGTTTAAGCTCCACTACTGACAGCTCTCTCCTTCTCGCTTGCCCCCCCCCCAAAAAAACTACTTATCAAACCTCCCCGCCATCGAATCTTCCTCTTTCCCTCACACCACACCACACCATCACAACCTCCTCGACTCATCCCAATCCAGCTTCCTCAACACCACTCCTCTCCCATCACCACCAATCTAATTCTTCAATCTAATCAACCAACCTCCTCCATTCAAGATGCAATACTCCATCGTCACCCTCGCCGTCTTCGTCGTCGCTGCTGTCGCTCAAGTTGACACCCTCCCATCATGTGGAGTAAGTCGATCTCCCTCTCCAAACTCGGCCGACGCGTCAATTCCAACCATTGGTATTGAAATAGAGCCACAAGCTTTCTTTCAATCGCCTCGGTGGTGTTTTCGACCGGTCGTCACCTTCTCCTGATCCAGTGGCTAACATTCCATCTCTAGCAAACCTGTATCAACAACATGCTCGCCCAAGCTCCGGCTCTTGGATGCGCTGACACCCCAGATGCATCTTGCTTGTGCAGAATGCCAAACTTTGGCTATGGTATCCGTGATTGTGCCAACCAAGCTTGTGGAGAGACGGTCGGTGCTCAAGTCATTGCCTATGGTGGAACTTACTGCTCTGGTAAGTCCTCACAAGTTCATCCTTTTTTTTGGGGTCAAAACTAACTGGCTTCATAGCTGCCGCTTCTTCCTTGGCTTCAGCATCGATTACTGCATCTGCTACCTCAGCTCTCGGTTCCGTCACCGCTCTTCCTACTGGAAGTGCCGCGAGTTCAGTTTCCTCAGCTGTTCAATCCGCTATCTCCACCTCCCAAATTGTCTCGGTCATCTCATCCGAGGGAAGTGCCATATCAACTGCAGTTATTGGTCAAACCACCATCTTCTCTGCCGTTCCTGGAGCCGCCTCGACCGCCGCTAGTGACGCCTCTGGTGCTGTTTCAACTGCCCTCTCAGGTGTCAGCTCCGTCGCGTCTGGTATTAGTGCTTCCGCTTCATCAATCCTTTCTGGAGCTAGCAGCATCGGATCCAGCGTCCTTTCTGGTGCCTCCTCGACTCTTGCCAGCGTCTCTTCACGAGTTCCATCCTCGGCTCCAAGCGGCCCAAGCTCAACCTCTTCTTCCTCAGCAGGTGGTGCTCGTCAAACTGCTGCTGCTGGAATTGCTGCCGTGGCTGGTTTCGCTGCTTTCATCTTGTAATTGTCTTGAAAAGATACCCAAGAGTCCAAATCGCAATTTAGATTTCTTTCGAGGTACTTTGATGACGGCTATGGATGGAAAACATCAAAAAACTGGTCGGTGGATGTAATGCTCTAATGGGATGGTGCGCGCTTTGTCGATACCCCTGCTTTCTACTTCTTGCTCATATTTTGCCCTTGGGGGTGTTCTTTCTCTCTCTCTTTACTACACGACATCATGGCCTTGACGAGATGGGGGATGGATGAAATCGTGATTCATATGGAGGGTTAATGGATGGGGATTGGGATGATAATGTGGATGGGGTTGGAATGGATGGAAAGGGATGAGGAAACTTTTGCAAGACATGCTGCTACTGAACTACCTTGGCTTTTCATTCTGAATCTCGTTGCACCTCGAGTGCGATTGGAAGGATAGTTTGATGGCGTGGGTATGCAAGATAATGATTATAGCTGACTTTAAAGTTGCTCATGATAATAAATGGAATTAAAATTTAAGTGATTTCGAAATATGTAACTCGTGTTCTTCATAATTGTTCATACTAGTTAGCCTCGGAGTATATATAAATTAAATCTTCATAGTGAAATATAGTTTTGTTTATAGTGAGATTTGTAATCAACCAATTAGATGATTAATTTTTTTCGAATTAAAATCTTTTTGTTTAGGAACTTTAGCTAACTACTAAAGTAGTTAGTTATAGTAACCCGAACACTATATTAACCCGAATACTAAAACCTAGGGTCTAAAATCTGTAGTAAATTAACTACCTACTTGTTTCGGATAATTTTTATATAGAAATAACCTGATTAAATAGTTAAATACGAATAATACCTTATGTTAACTATTATTTATAGTTATCATAATATAAGGTCGAGGTCTAGGTTCTCTAGTCCTAGGTTCCTAAGGTACTAGGGGGTCCCCGGATAGGCTACCCTACTATTCTAGCACTTTTATAATATAAAAACTATATAAAAAAAACGCGTATTTACCTTATAATTAATAAATTAGAACATTTAAACTTAATATAATATGACTAAAAAAGGTACTAGTAAGATAAGAAAGAAAGAATTGATTTATTACTAAGTTTAAAAAAGATTCTATAGTATTAATAAGCGAACTACTTAGATAAAGAAGAGAGAATAACCGAAGTAATATATATATATAAGAATAAATAAAATACTAAAATCTCGAATCTATAAATAACTATAGGAGTTTATAATATTACTTATACTACTATTTATATGTAAATAAAGGAAATACATATAACTATAATAAATAATAGGAGAAAGAACACTTATCTAAAAGAAGCCTCTAAAGCCTAGTTAATTCTATATTATTATTATACTAAGATTAGTAGATATCTACTTAGATATAAGTTAATCTACTAAGTAATATCTACGATTTTATAAGGAATTAAAGATAATAAAGAACTCCTAGTATAACGTATAGACCGCGGTTATAGGACACGGTTATATAGTTATATAGTGTAACGAATACTCAAACTGGCTAACTAAACTTGGCTGGGTGTTCGCTGGTTGGTATGCTATGATAAGAAGAAGATTATCGGGTTGTTCACTTGGAAGTGAACTCGTTACTTGTATCAAAGATGTCAAACTAATATGATAAGATTGATAACTAAGTTGAGCACGAAGCTCCTATCTAATGGCAGACGTGCCAGTCTTATATAGAACCTTCGTTCTCTATGGATCATATGGATCACCATGATCCATCTGATCCGGCTCACACTGGCTCATATGATCCTCCATGATCCAAGCGAGTCACGTGATGCTAACCAAAGGAAATCCCTGGATCGCTTAGCTAGCCTAAGCGTCCCTATTTTGCTATAAGAAACCTGGATGTGCCTGTCGAGGGTTGCGCCTCTTATTATGACAAGTATCACGTGAGCACGTGATTCGTGACAATATTTTATATAATTACTAATATTCTAGATACTTCTAAGGTTATTTAATAGTCTAGTTAATTAAATAGCTAAATTAAGTATTTAAATCGAGTTTTTATAAGTATTAATTATAATATAATTTTTATATTATAACGTAACTTAGTAATATCTATACTTATATAAGGGTCTAATTCCTATAGATTCACCTACTAAAGATGCTATATTAATATAACTAATAGTTAGATTTATTATTCTATTATAAATAAGTTATACTTATTTTTAATTAATTAAGTACTTTTAAATAAGAATTAAGTATTTTTAACTAGTAGTTATTAAGATATTAATTATTTAGGGTTTTAGTATTTAGGTTAAGTTACTTAAATATTCGCTTTACTATAACTAACTACTTTAGTAGTTAGCCTAAGAATCTAAAAGTAAAAAAATAATTTAATAAAATATTAATTCTCTAATTAGTAGAAAATAAACCTTATTGTAACCGTGTGGAGTGAACCACTGCTTGCTGTGATGAATACGGAGTCAAACGGAAACTGCTGTATTGAGCGAACAACAAAGTGAGGAAGGAAGAGAGTTCCAGAGGAACGAGAGCTTAAATACAGGATGCCAGCAGCGCGCACGTGACACATACTACATGCTGCGCTACACGTGATCAACCCCTAGTTCCTCCAACTCCGTAACAGTACCCCCCCTCTTAAAGAAGGTCGTCCTCGACCGAGTATCCATAATTAAGTTACCATCTAAATCATCATAATCGTCCCTTCCACCTTCCCA